TGTGCAAAGGTTTGAATCACGGGGCCCTTTGTAGAAACGTTCTCACCAAGTCTGTGAAAGGAGGTGACCTCTGGAAAGACTTCCTCACATTGCCATCATAAGTGACTAGCGAATGTCACTCGGCTTCATCGTGGAGTTCAGTGACGTTAACAAGCATACCGTAATTTATTTTGTCATGAAAATGGGTATGTCTTTTTATGCTTTAGAGCGATGGAGAGCCAATATGAACGTGTGTAAACATTATATGGTACAGTTATGAAAACTATAAATTCTTGGGCTCTGCCAATAGAAAGCTGACTCAGTGGTACTTCAGGTCAGCTCAGAAATCTGTAATTTTAAAGCTTGCACCCTGTTCAGGCACTCTCGCAGTGGGGTATAACTATAAAGCAAAACCAAACAAACTCATCACCTTTGAGTCCATTCTGACGCTTCGTGACCCTAGAGGGCAGAGTAGAACTGCTTCTTCACAGAGGCTGCTGCGACGCCTTTCTCCCGGGGAGCACTTGGCAGGTTGAAAACACCAGCCTTTCATCAGCGCCCCACCAGACCTCCTGAGTATTGATCTGAGAAACAGGCAAACCAACAAACAAGGAGGTTGCCCTCTGGCTGATACCAGCTCATGGTTGCCCCGTGGGTCACACTTTAGAACTGTCCCACGGCGTTTGCTTGCTTGGTGGTGACCCTGGCAGATGGGCAGAGCTTTCTTCCACATGCCACGGGGTAAGTTCAAACCACCCATGTTTGGGTTAGGAGCTGAGCACCCACAGCCATCTGTGCCACCCTGAGAGTAGTGGGTATCCCTAGAGAGTCTACCAAAGATGTGGCATCGAATGCTGTAACTGCTACAACAGCTGGCTAACCTTTATGAGGCCCTGCGAATGAACTGTGGTTCACTAAGATAAATGTCAAAGTGGGGGGGCTGGAGGGGGGGCTTCCAATCAGCTGCCAACTCCACAACAGGCTGGTCGCTCTGGGGTTAGAGCAAAGGGCAGCTGAGGTTTCCCCTGGCAACAAGGAGGAACCACCTGCATCGCGGGACTCAAAGACGCCCCCTCCATCCAAGGTAGAGTCGGGCTAATTTGGGGAAATGGCCGTTGACTATTTTTCCAGACTTCAAAGACCAGCCATTTTGCAGGGAAGCACACTTGGTTGCTGCCCGAAGCACCGAAGTGCTTATTGGCCTTCACCTTCACCACTGTCTTCTAACCGAAACGGACGATCTGTCAGCAGGAAGGAGAGGAAGGTGCTCTACCTAGAAGCCCTTCCTCTTTCCTGCCTCACAGGATCCACCACCGAGTTGTACTGTAACGCCTGTGATTCCCTTGAGAAAGCAGAAAGCTTAGTTCCTGTCCCCGCCACCCCTCCCCGTTCCCCTGCACCATGTGGACACCAACCCTCCTGTGGGACAACGGGTATAAAGAGGTCACCACTCCAGGGTGCTGCAGCTGCTGGCTCTGGCCAAGGGAAGGACTCCCCTCTCCGTTCAGCCCCCGCCTTCAAGCCCCCTGAGTGCTGGTTCAGGGTGGAAATATTCACACATGGTGGTCAATGGAAGGACGAGCACATTTTTTTCTCAGCCTGGGCTGGTTGGGGGTTGTCATCAAGGTAGCACCTACCCACAACAACCTTGTGCAAGATGGAAGAAAAACTGCATCTGATCCTGCAGCTGCTTCACAGTCCTCTGTGTACTTGAGCTTCTTGGTGGGGCTATTGTGTCCATCTGCTCCCACCCCACCCCCACCCCCAAGAAGTCCCCTCCTTTGCACTGACCCTCTGTCTTTCCAGTCTGGAAGATAGTGTTTCTTCTCCAACCGAACCAGGCAGGTGTAACTGGGAGGTCTCAGTTCATGATCACGGAGACAGTGGCTTTTGTTTTTCAAGTCACTGAAGTTTCGAAACGCAATTTAATCTCAAGCGTTCCCTTGCCTGAGGACCTCTCCCTACGTGGTATTTCTGCACAGGCTATGGGTGATGGCTAATGACAGGCTCATAGAAAGAATGGACAAGGTCCTGAGGCAGCCCAAGGTGCCTGGTGAATGGTGTTCAGCCAAGTTAAGTGGGGGGTCCCATCTTGAAATTAAATATACTTTACTATATTATGTGGGGTCACTACCTAAGTCAGCTCTGACTCAGGGGGACCCCCATGTACAACAGAAGGACGTGTCTGCTGCCGAAACCTGCCCCATCTTCATGACAGCTGGCATGTCACAGCTCATGGCTACCCCTGGGTATGCTGAGTGGCTTATATGCCAAGCTGTCACTCTCCAGCACGATATTCCACAATATTATCTTGGGATCCACAGGGTTTTCACTGGCTGATCATTGGAGGTCAAACACAAGACCTTTCTTCCTTCAAACCCTGGCGGTGTATGGTGACAAGTTGGCCCGCTCACTGCAAGGTCAGCAATTTGAAACCACCAGCTACTTCTCAGGAAAAACAATGGTGCTTTCTACTCCCATTAAGCGATACAGACTTAGAAGCCCACAAGTGCAGTGCTACCCTGTCCTATGAGTTGGCATCAACTCAGTGGAAATGAATTTGTTGGGTTTTGTTTTTTTTCCGTTTCTTCCTGGTCCATCTTAGTCTGAAACCTGTCACTTGTCTGAAACCTGTCCTGAAGACATGACCCTGCTTATATTTGAAATACCAGTGGCACGGCTGCCAACATCCCATCAGCACACAAAGTACCACCGTATAGCAAACTGGTTGACAAGCGATGGTGTTATAGTCTAGCTCAGTGAATGTGGCTAACTGTGTATGGTCAATATGGTAACCATGAAGTGGAACTGTTCATCAAAATACCATTCTCAAATGGGAGGTCACAAAAAAGAGGGGGAAAAAGCCACTGCCATCCAACTGATTCCTACTCATAGTGGTCCTGTAGAGAGGGTTTTCCACACTGTAAATCTTTATAGGAACGGACAGCCTCATCTTCCTCCTGCAAAGTGACTGGTAGGTTTAAATGGCCAACCTTGTGGGTAGCTATCCAATTCTTTCTCCAGCAGCATTACCAAAAACTCAACCAAACTCACTGCCATAGAGTAAATTTTGACTCATATCAGCTCTATCCAAAACAAAAAACTCAAAAACTCACTGCCATCGAATTGATGCCAACTCTGAGAGCCCATGTAGGGCAGGGTGGAGCTAGCCCCCTGCGTACAGGACGGAGTGAAACTGCTCCTGTGGGTTCTGAGGCTGCAGAAGAGCAGAAAGCTTCCTATTTCTCCTTTGAGTGGATGGTGGATTCAAACTGCTGACCTTGAGGTTAGTAGCCTTGATGAGTAACCCACAATACCACCAGGGCTCCTTGACAGGGCTCTTTAAATCCCAGGTAAATCTTCTACTCCTTTAAATATTTCTAGTCTCAGAAACTCACAAGGGCAGTTCTACTCTATCCTATGGGGTCACTGTGAGTCAGAATCAACTCAATGGCAGTGAGTTTGGGGTTTAGCTTTATATAGCTAGTGTGTGTGTGTGTGTGTGTGTGTGTGTGTGTGTGTGTGTGTGTGCACGCTTTGTACTTTAGTTCTTCAGCCTATAGATGGTCCTATAAGAATGCTTTTCTTTCTCTTGTCTCCACAACACACATGACTTGACTCAGGTCTATTGAGATTTTAAGGCTTTGGGTCAATTTCTCATTGGCAATTTAACCTTGGGTAGAAGAAATTTCACTTAAATTAAATTCTTACCAATCCATCCTTGTCATAGGGCGAGTCAAAGTTATCCAGAAACTTCCTGAACACTTGATCCTCTGACCATTCTCCGTTTTGGTACTTTGGATGGTGTTTGGCATTATAAACCACCCGAAGATCTTCAATTGTTATCACGCCATCCCCGGTCTTGTCCAGCTTTCTAAAGGCTTGCATAATCACATCTTTTCGGGCTCTGGACATGGGAGGCTAGAGAAAGAGAAAACACACCTACACAGACATGCACAAGCAATGATTTGTGGTTTTACGTTTAATCCTATGTCACACAATCCCCAATGGCCCTCAGCATGAAACTGTTTGTATCGTCTCAAATGAAAGGCCTTAGGATTCTTCCAGAAAGCCCCTCAACTTGTTCTCAGGTCTTCTCCCAGCCCTCTCGAAATGTACTAACTTCTGAAAACAAAGCCTCAAAATAGCCAAACCAAACCACACAAAAGCAAAAGTCAGCATCACCCTGATTCTCACGACCACTTACTCTCAATGTGAGAAGAAATTCATTGAAGTCTATGGTCCCACTTCCGTCTTTGTCAAATCTCCTGAAGAGCTCTTCTGCCTCTTCCTTTTCCATGACCACAGCGTAATCATTTAAGCCTTTGATAAATTCTTTGAAATCCAGGGTCCGGTTGTTATTGTCATCCATTATCCGGAACACTCTGGAGAAAATACATGCACCCAACACACAAGGAAAAAGAGAAAGGTCATAAAGAACAAGGTGTGAGGACAAAGCGCTCCAAAGGAAACCGCTCTCAAGACTTTGCCAGTGAACATGCAGAACTCTTCTGATGGAGCTTCCTTCCTTAGCTCTGGACCTGATAGCTGTGTGCTGCTCTCCCTCATTGCCCAACCCTTGTTGCATGGCTGGAACTAACCATGCTGTCCCTAGCATCTTCCCAAGTGAACATCTCCTGGCTTCTCCCAGCAGAGAGTTGGAGAGAATCAGAAGGAGATTGGGCTGAATTCCAGCTTTCTGCGGAAGTTGTAACTGTTTGCTTAGTTGGTTTGGAGTCAGGCCCATCCTTCTTGCCAGCCCCTTTAAAAGAAAGTTAACCAGAACAAGAGGAAGAAGGAGAGTCTGGAAGAGAAAATGGGCCGTGTGACCGGGTGGCGAGTTGCCTCCATGAACAATCGCACTTTTGCCACGAGACCAGAAAAATTGGATGGTGCCCGGCTCCCACGATGGCACATTTTGATCAAAGTGTCCAGAGAGGACTCCTGATCTGAAGTGGGGAAGTGGAACACGGGATTTCGATTTTTTGTGATTTCTAGACTTTCTGCAACCATGGAGAGTGACTGAACCCCTGAAACTAGGGCTCTAGGAGCATCTTTAAATCTTAGAGCAAAACTATCCTTAGAAATAATTTCAAAACCAAGCAATCATCTAGTTAGGTTAACTAGTAAAAGGGGGTCTGCCTTGAGCACTATGCTTTTTGAAGAACCATCTCTATGGGGTCCCACTGCAACAGCAACTGGAAAGATTAAATAGAAGTCTTAGTGGACAGTGAGTTTATGTTAATGTGTGAGGAGCAACTTAACACGGGAGGGTGAGAGTTGTTGTATAACTTGAAGAATGTAGTCAATGCCACTGAGCCGCACATGTAGAAATTGCTGGGTTGGTGTGTGTTTTTGTTGCGTATATTCTCAACAACAAAATTGATGAAGCTTGAAGAAGGGAGGCATCAAGCAATAGCTAAAATACAGAAATCTGAGATTCCACTCTGCACTCTCCTCTCAGCATAGAGAGCCTGTTCAGCGTCTCATAAACCACCCTCAAACATGCATCCTTGATATCATTTCAGTCATAAGATTTTCTGTACAATCCAAAACTATGGAGATATTAAGAAGATCATTGATTATTGGGGGAAGAGGTGTGCTGAATAGGTGAAACAGTGCATTTTTAGAATGAAATGACTCTAAGATACTATTATGACAGACACATGACATTCTACATTAGTCAAAACTCATAGATTGAACAACACTAACGTAGACGTTGATGTATACATATTTTTTTAAATAATAATTTAAAAGGTCAGGGGATACCAGGTAGGAACATAAGCCAAAATAAGGAAATCTAACGGTACTACAAATGCAGGAAATGACCTCAGTAAAGGGAGTGGTGGTTAAAAACAAGACGAAAGAAACGGTGGTAAAATATGTACATTTGAAGAGGAATTGAATCTGTAAGATTAAAGGCAAAAGGGGCTTCGTATTAGTCCTCTACTATAGTTGACTGAGCTGTCCCCATGGGGCCACAGAGGAGCAATTCTGGCACTGCTGTACATGTAAATTGGAATCAAACAGCTATCCAGAATGGATGGGGGGAAGTGTCAGGTTTCTAACTATTGAGGGGAGGAATTACCGCTAAGCAAGGGGACTGTGAGGTGCCCTTGTGGCACAGTGAATTAAGCATCACACTGCTAACGGAAAGATTGACTGCTCAAGCCCACCAGGCATTCTGCAGGAGAAAGATGAGGCTATCTGCTTCAGTAAAGACTTACTACTCCATCCACCCAATTCAGTAGTTCTACT